GCCACTCGGACAGGGACAGTCACAGCGGTGTCTGAGGCTGAGTGTGCAGGCTGGGGTTTCCTCTCCGGGCTTTTGGGGATGGCCAGGAGATGACAGCTACAGCCCAGGTCCCACACCCTCTGCTCACAGAGGTCAAGGTGGAGGGAGGGTGAACTGCAGGCTGAGGCTGCCAGTGCTCCCTTGACTCTGGGTCCCAGGGATGCCTCACCTAGCCCAGGCTCTGCTCTGAAAGTCTGGCTTCTGAAGCCTGACTGCAGTGGCAATCAATAGGGAGTGACGTGGCTTGGGTTGTGGGGTCCAGGAGAGCTGAGTTTGAAGCCCATCCCGTCATTCAGTGTTTGCGTGATGTTGTATGGGTCATGTAACCTCTCTGAGCTTCAGCTTCCTATCTGCAGAGTGGAGATGACTGTATCTGGGTCTCGGGCAGCTGTGGTGATTGTCTTGGAGGCATTCCCAGAATCCAGTGCAAGCAATTTCCTAAGGAAGTGCTTCTGGGAAGACTGGAGGGTGTTAGGGGCAGCAGGGGAGCAGCTCCAGGTGGAGTCCTGTAGGGCCAGCTTCAGCCTGACCGGTCAATGAGCCCCAGGGTGGAAGTGGCGTAGTCAATATTCCATGGAGGTGAAGGGCTGGGCTCGCAGCTTGAGCACCAGTGTGTCAGTCAGTGGTCAAGGCCACCTCAGGGTGGGCAGGGCTCTGTGGCTCCTGTGTCCAGTGCAGTGTGCCACAGAGACAAAGCACAGTGCAGCTGAGCCGAGGCATCCCCAGATGCACACATCCCTTGCTGTGGTTCGGATGTGCACTCTCAGAGTTCATGTGTTCAAGGCCTGATCAGCCAGGCGCTTTGAGAGGTGGAGCCTGGCAGGAGGTCCTTGGGTCATTGCAGGTGTGCCCCCAAGGAGGGCCATGGGACCCCAGGCTGTCCTTGTTCTCTTTCGGCTTCCTGGCTGTGATTAAGCTGTTTGCACTTCCATGTGCTCTGACAATGATGTGCTGCCCTGGCCAGAGGCCAAAGCAAAGGAGCCTTTCAGTCTTGGACTGGAATCTTTCAGCCAAAGTAACCCAAGTTAATTGCCTCAGGTATTTCATTATAATAATGTGAAGCTGACCAATGTATCTTCTGAAGGAATCTGAGCAGAGCACTGCAGGTGGAGTACAGCAGGGCTCACGCCAGGATCGAATGAGAAAATGTGTATGAAATATGTTTATCACCTTAACTGCTGTAACAAGGAGCCAGAGACTGAGTGGTTTATAAGCAGTGGCAATTTATTTCCTACAGTCCTGGAGGCTGGTTGTCCGGGATCATAGACCAGCACCTTCCAGGTTGTGGCCTTCTCTCTTCTTGTCCTCACATAGCAGAAAAGGGGGGTGGGTCTCTGGAGCCTTTGACCAGGGCACTAATCTCATTCAAGGGGGCTCCACCCTCATAACCTTCTCTCGGCTCTGCCTCTGATACCATCACACTGGGGGTTAGGAGCCCAACGTAGACACATATATTTAGTCCACTGCATGAAAGAACTTTGCAAACTGTAAAGTGCTGGGCATAAAGTGGCTCTGTTTGGCATCTGGAAGCGACAGTAGCTACACAGGGTTGTGCTGAGGCTGCACGTCCTCTTACCTCCACCGCACGGGTGTAGAACAAAATTAGGAAGAGAATTTGTCTGATACATTCTAATGCTTTGGGGGCAGGGCCAGGCTGATCCCAGGGTGATCCTAGGTGCTGGGACTCAGTGGTGGGCAGGACCTGGGCCTGGCAGGGGCTAGCAGACAAGGAGAAGGTGAGGGACATGGTGTCAAACTAGAGACACTGAACCTGTGGCCATTCTCCAGGCGCAAGCTGCCAGGGGCGTGAGGAGCCAGGAACAGAGCAAGAGAGCAGGCAAGAGCACCCAGGGTGCCCAGGGTGTGTGGTGGCATTGAACAGGATGGGGCCTGCAGCCCCTCACCTTGAAATGGGCCACTTCCCAAACAGGTTGCAGGGCAGAGCTCATTGAGGGAATATCAATCAAGACTTTCTGTCCTAAGGAGCAAAACCGAACTCAAACTGACTCATGTACACAGGGGTTAATCAGCTCACAGAGGCTCCTAGGGTGGGGCTTCAGGTGTGGCTTGATCAAAGGGTCCACTTAGACACATCAGGAACCAATCTTTTCTTTCCATCTCTGGATGCTGCTTCCTGTATGGATTCATTCTTAGATGGTTCTTCTTTTGCAACTGCATGATCTACTTGGCCTGCACCAGCTTGGCTGTGTGGTCATCCCTTACCTAGTCCAGGGGAACTGAATGTCTCAGCTGACCCAGCTAGAACCACTTGTACACACTATGCATCATGGGATATTCGGGACATTGAGCTTGGCCAGACAGAGTACACAGACTGAGGGGTACAAACTCCCCAAAGAAGGGGGTGCTATCCTGGATGACAGGGAAGTCTAAGACCAATACATGTCTGCACCTCAAACCAGTCTGACTGGCAGAGCCTCCCGAAGTCTCTTAGAGGAAGGGTCCAGAGAGGCGGAGAACAGGGCCGTCACCAAGAGGACAGTCAGTCCAGCCACAATGACACGGCCCAGAGAGGGGCTTTGAGACGGTCCTGAGGGTGTCTTGGGAGCAGGAACCAGGCTGGATTCCTGTCTGTCCCGCTCTGAGCAGAGGCCCAGCACGTGCAGGAAGAGTGCTACTGCCAAAGGCCATCCAGGAAGTAGGGACGGGGCGGGGGGGAGACATCGCATCTCCTCTGGGAACTGTCACCCCAGCCCGAGCCACTGCTGCCACCTCTCCCCCTGACCACCCCCTCTGACGTCGCACGCCCTCACTCACTGTTTCACGCGGCCCACTTCCTGTGTGAAACCCTGCTGTTTAACAGCGTCCAGGCCTGCTTCTGCCTGCGGTCACCATCAGGAGAGCAGGCTTTGCTATGTTCATTGTCCACCCTGGTGTCGAGGACAGCACCTGGCTTACCACAGCTGCTTGCTCATTCTTCCCTGGACCAGTGAGCGGTGGAGCTTCAGTTTTCTCTCCTAATCCCGAGACCTGGCTCTGTGGCCCTGGGAGCAGCTGGTTAGAAGGGGCTCTTCTGCCCCCTGCCAGGCCCACCATTCTCATTGTCACATTGTACATCTCCCTTAGCCAGATCACTAGTTCCCTCCCCCAAAGAACAGGTGTCTGGAAGGCTGGGTGGATGTTAGAAGGGCAGCTCCAGAGGGCGGAGGCTGGACTGGGAATGGTTGCAAACCCTGCCTGAAGCACCATCCAGTGCCATTGCTATGATAGTTAATGACCTTCGAGTTGTTTGCAGAACAGGCCTGAACAGCCTGGCTGGACCAATTAGAGGCCAAATGGGAAAGTCCTGGGAGGGCAGGTTTTGGAGTGGGCAGTGGCAGCCCTGAGAACCGGGGAGCTTGGCCAGAATCGCTAGGGGGCGCTGTTCTGCCCCTCTTCTCCTCCACTCTCTTCTCTCCTCTTTCCTCCCCTCCCCTAGAGGCACAGGTAGCTCTGCTTGCTGAGGAGTCACCAAGAGAGGCTATTTTCCTCCCAGCTCTTCTGTTACTCGCTCACGAATGTGAAGTCAGACATGGCGCCTCCTGGGCTGAGCTCTGAGGGGCCTTTGCCCTCCAGGGTGCCCAGTTAATGGAGTGGCAGGGCTGTCCCCCAGAGAGGGGGGATCCCACCAACTCACAGCGTAGCCAAAGGTCAGGACAATTGGGCCACAGCCACTCACGGATGTGTTTACAAACCAAATCTGTAAAGCCAAAAATGTCCTAAAATGCTGCCAGGGAGGATGGGGCTGGGGAGGACAGAGTTTTGTGATGTGGGCTGGATGATGTGTAGCTCCTAAAGAGTCAAATTTAGAGGCGCTGGGCTGTAGAGGCCTCGTTTTCTTGAAAAATCTTGCAAACTCTTGCAAATGGTCTTTTCCGATATTTCAAAACGCTGCACCTCCAACCAGAGGACCCTCTGCCGGTGGTGTGTACACCTGAGCCATCCTGGCAAAGCATGTGACAGGGAGGAACACCCAGGCACCACCCAGTGGACGCCAGGGTGGGGTCCCCTTAACCAGCATGGAAGTCACTCTTGTCCCCTCCACCCTGGCACCAGCCCTGCCTTAGGGACAGGTGATGGTGCCCCACTGCCCCCCCCCCGACAGTCAAGGCCCCCTCTGGCTGGCTTTATCCCTTCATCCACCATGTTCTTCAGGCTCCAGCCTCACCTCCCCTGCTATGCACCCATTTCTGCATTCTAGCTGCAAAGCCAAGTCGTGCCTCTCCATGTAGTCCACAGGGATCTCTGGCCTTTCTTGCTGTCCAGGAAGCCCCGTCTTTGTCTTACCCAGCCTCCCTCTCAGCTCACCTCCCTGTTGGGGAGCAGAGGGCAGTGGGAGAACCAGGCCATGGTCTCTCTTTGCTCGGCTGCCAGCCTCAGCTCTGAAGGACTCCAAGGAACACGTGAGCCAAGATTTCTAGCCCTGCTCCCCGGTTACCCAGCCTTGGGCAAGAAACTTCTGCATGCCTGTTTCTTCATTTGTCAAGTGGGGATAATAATAGTGCCCACATAGTAACAGTCACTGTGTATACAAAGGGCTCAGAATTGCGCTGAATGTCTAGTAAGTGCTATGTAAATGTTTGCTATGATTAGTGAACGAATGGCTAAAGCTACAGTTGCATGCTCAATGTTACCTGTACTGTTGAAATGTACCAGACTGGTCGTTCAGGAATCATTCATCCATTCTCTGATCACCTGGTGGGTGTCTTCTAGGAGCTGGGCACTGTACCCAGGTGCTGGAGGGAAGAATGGGGGTGAACTTTGCTCTCAGAGGCCTCAGGTGCCCGGGAAGACGGAGGGGGATCCCAGGGGGCCTCCACAGCTCACTGCAGTGTGACTGTCCAGTGGCCCTGTGCGGGGAATGGATGAGGTGGGGACCCATCCCGCCTCAATGTGGCAGGATGACCAGCATGGAGGTCACCTGGAGCTGCCTTAATGACATGAAAATGAGGGGAACACAGAAGTTTGATCTTCCTTTCGTTCTTTTTTATTATCATAATAGAATATGACAACCACAGCAATAAAGTTAACAAAGAGATTTCACTGCCACATTTTTACATCCTGGAGGTTACAGATTTTTAGTCTAAAAGCACATTGAAGTCCCACATTAAGAAAGAGCCTTTTCACACTAGTAAAAGTCAGTGGTCACAGGGTCAAATCAGGTGCTGCAGTAGCAAAGGCCTAAAAGAATAGTTAAAATACTTTTATATCAAGGAAACTGCATACTTTTACAAGTTGATTATGAAAACGTTAGTAAGACATAGAAACATTTCTGATTCTCTCATCATGGAGTGTTGATATCTACAGTGGCAAGTTACAAGAATAAGGATTCTGTAAAAGTCTAAATTGTAGAAAGAGTGCTTAGTATGCTTTCAGCTAGGGAAGAGGGTGGGCATGTGGGAAAGGATCAGAAATAAGAGAAGATGCAGACTTGTCCAGTGGCTGTTATCCAGCCTCCTGAGCCGTCCTACACTCCCCTGGAATGGTGCTTCTTGGGGCACTGATGGGGACCAGTCACTGGAGGCCCGCAAGAGGCACCTCACTGCGGGGCAAGTCCAGCCTCAGCGTTCCACCCACTTTGTAGCGCACCCTCCATTCCAGCTGGCTTCCTCCAGAAGGCCCCAGAGAGTGGAATCAGAGCCAGGTCGGTTTCCAAAGTCCGATCCAACTCAGGAGGAATTCCAGATCCTGGCCCTCCACCGGAATTATGTGAACCTGGGTCAGCAACCATGATCGCTGCTGTTGCTCGGAACAGCTCTGATTTACTCAGTGATTCATGGATGAGGAAGAGTGGAGCTTTGGGGAAAACCCATGATTTTGAAATCAGAGATAGCATAACCATGTGTAAAGTTTCCTGACTTTGGCAGGACTAGCATTCTGAGGCAGGATCATTCTCTGTAGTGGGGACTGGGCTGTGCATTGTAGGACATTGCTAAGCACAACTCTGGCCTCCGCCCACCAGATGTCACTAGAGCCCCTCTAGAGCCAAAATGGTCTCCAGACATCGCCAAATGTCTCCTGGCATACTAAAGTGCCAGCAGTTGAGAACCACGGGCTGCTTGGAATCAGAACCTCTGTAGTTAGAAGCCCTGGGCTTACGATCCTGTCCCTCTGCTCCCCAGCTCAGCCCATGCCTCCTCAAGACTCGGTTTCCTCAAGGTCAGTGGATGAGGTCCCCCTCCTGCCAGAGCCATCAAGATTGCCATTTGTTGGAGAATGCTTTTAACTATGAATGCCAATTCTCTTGCTCACAAAAACCCTGGCAGAAAGATTACTGGAAAGACAGGCACAAGGGGCCCAGGGGCCACTTGGCCACATGGAGGGGTCTGCATGTCGAACGAGGGTCCAGAGTCCCCTAGTTGCCGAGGTCCACACATTCCCTGCACATATGTGCATTTCTGTTGAATTTAGTCCCAGGGCAACATGGGTCTCAAACCTCCTCTTGGGGAGGAGGAATAGGGCTGGAGACGGACCAGAGGTGGAGGATGTGCCTCAAACATGCCGGGACACAGAGGCCTGGGCAGGCTCCCGGCCACCAGCGTGGTCACAGGACAGCATCAGCAACCGACACCATCAGCCTCTTCGGGCCCAGCCCAGCCCTCTTCCACTTTTACTCTGTCTTGAAACATTTCTGGGACTCTGAGCAAAGCTCACAGGCTTCCCTTCTCAGGAGTGTTGCTGGCTTGGTGTCCTTCTGGCGATCCCATCATGCCTGACAGTGGCTTTTCCTCTCCCTGGGGCCTCCTTGCACCTCCCTCAGTCCCGTGGTTTTTTGCGTGCATTTGTCCTCTTCCCTCAAAGACATAACTGCTCAACTCTAATCCCCGAGCTTGCACTGGGCATATTTGGGGCTGTTGTAATTCTGCTTCTCGGGGTCTCTGGGAGAGGCCTCCCTTTCCACTTGGAGATCCTGGGCTCCCTGTCTCTGAGGTCATAGTCACGGTTCACCTGCCCTCTTCTCTGTTTCTCGCTGAGTGGCCTTGGGCCAGGCCTGAGGAGCATGCTGGGATGAGAGAGCTCGGGACAGGGAGATATGGACACTCAGGGCTCCTGAGCATGGAAACCTAGGCCTCCCCACCGTGCAAGGCAGCCCACCCCTGGGGCTCACTCTGGGACAATCGATGGTCATCTGCAGGATGCAGCCAAGCCGGTGACAGCTGGCAGAGAACACAATCACATGGCAAGGCTGGATTTGCTGGATGGCCTCAGCCGCTCTTTCTGAACATTAAAGGTCCTGATCAGGTGCTCTCTAAGCCGTGCTGCTGTGAGGTCCAGGACTAAGTGTACTTGCAAGCTGCCTGCCCCTTTCCCCAAGCACACTGGATGTTGGCAATCTGGCTATAGGTCCATAGCCAGGCCCTGGATCCGGAAACCCCTTCCCGGGACGGCCCATCCCACAGGGCTCATCTCAGAGGGCGTGGGCACGGGGAGGCAGTGGCTGAGTCCTGACTGCTTACCCGTGGGCTCTCAGGCAGAGGGGAGGGCCTGGCCTGTTTTCTTGACAGAAAAATGGGAGAATTACTATGCACACCCTACCCCTCACCCTGTCCTCAGAGGAGATTTAGGAACACAAGGGATTTACACACAACACTCAACACAGGAAGATGTGCAAAACAGCTGTGGGGAACAGCAGTTAGTTTCTGCCCTGCTCACCATGAAGGGAGTCCCGCCCTGCAGAAAGAGGGGATCCTTTGCCTGGAAGGGATCAGGCAGCCATTCTGATGACGCACGCATGTGGCCGAGTCTCCCCGGCTTTGTAGACAGGTCCTGATAAATGCCAGTGTGATCTGTGACTATTCCAGTCACCACTTTATATAGGCTGGAAGCCGGCCTGTGGTCACAGCTGTCTGGTGCTAGCCTGTCCTCCCTGCCCACTCCCTGGCACTGTGGGGATTTCTGTGTAGAGACCCCTCCTTTTCTGGAGTGGGGAGGGGAGGGGTCTTATTTTCTTCTCAGCCTTCCAGCAAATGCATGCCTTTCTCTGAAAAGCAGCTCCTGGAGAGCCAAACCCCTTTCTCCCTCAGCACTGACCCTAAAATCAAAGGGGGCCGGGGGTTCACCCCACCCAGGGAAAAGGCAGGACAGGGCCCTGGCTGTGGTCTGAAAGCAGAGGGTGCGTGTCACCTGACCTGGAGAGCCTGGGGCTCAGAGAAAGGCCTGTGCCACACAGGTCCATGACTGACTGATGGAATTCCCCCCTGCGAAGAACCTTCTTCCATGGCGACACAGTCTGCGGGGCTCCCATGTCTCAGCCAGCGTCTCTTCTGCACACATCCCTAGAAAGCCAGCTACTTGGAACTTCACTGCAGCCGGAGGGAGGCTTTGTGAGTAGAGTCTGGGCAGAGAGGGCAGCAGCAGGAGGCCTGACATGCCCCGTTCTGAGGACATCAGGGGCCCGAGGGAGCCAGAGCTGGCCTGGCCCATCCCACAAAGTGGCCCTCACGAAACCGCCTCTGGAGGTCCGGGTGCTGGTGGAGCTGCAGAGCCACAAAAGGGAGGATGGTGTCAGTGGCTTCAGAGCCCAGCTTCCAATCCCAGCTCCCTGCTTTCATGCTGGGCGGCCTGGGGAAAGTGACATCCTCAGGTCTCTGTTTCTTCCTTGGCCCGGTGAGGGCAGCAGGAGGTTGCGGAAATCTGCTACTGCTCACTGTTATCTGTGATGGTGGAAGAAAGCAGACCAGGAATGCACAGGAGACAGGGATGGGGACACGGAGATCTGCTACCTACTGCTCTCCAGGGCTGCAGGCCCCCTTGGGATGTGGGGTCTGAGGGCGCTGGGCTAGAGTGACCCCCGAAGACATCAAGCGTCGCCCAAGCCCAGCTGATTGGGTTCTCTCGGGCTGACATCTGCCTCAGAAAGTCCTAGCTCAGGGTTCGGGAGGGCTCTGCAAAGGCACCCAGCCCAGCCCAGCCTGCCACTCACCCACAATTCCCTTCTCTTGGGCTGGCGCTGCCCCGACAGCCTCTGCAAAATGGATGCATTTGTTGACGGATGTGTGGCTGGGGTGACAGATGAGGCCAATAAGAAGAGCCAGCTGCTGTCTATGGCCCTGTCTGGAGGCCAGGCTGGTAATCCTATTAGCTGGCTGCTCCCAGAGCCCAGTGTCTGCCTTTGGACAACAGAGGTGCCTTTTGTTGTCATCGAGAGCACTCACGTCCCAGGAGAACGCAGAGGCCCGGACCATGGCCTCTCCTGGAGAAGAAAAGCAGCCCGTTCCAAAACTGCTCCTACAGCAAGTCACTGCTCCAGTTTCTGAGGAGCCTCCTTGTTCGCAGGGATCCCCAGTCACCACTTTTTAAACATTTAAGGAAACTGGATGGGTGGAAGCACCTTCAAACCTGCCCGACAGTGCACACGATCACAACCACATTTGAAATGCAGGCACTGAAGGACCTGCCCATTTCGCATCTGGCTTCAAGAGCCCCTGAGCACACATGTTCCTGCTGCACACAGCTGAGCCAGAGCGAGGAGGAAGGGGATGCCTTTCTGTTCTCTTTCACTAACTGGCCATGGGCCCACAGGCAAATCCCAGGCCATCCATGCAGTAACTGAGCATGAAGACTCATTCTGTAATTCCTCAAAGAAAGAGTGGTGGAAGAGCTAAGTGTCAGGCAGGGATCCTCTCTTCTTCAAAAGATCAGTGAGTCCATCCATAGCTAGAAGCCACCACCAACCACCCAGAAGCCACACCTCAGCACTGGTAACCCCACCCATGTTTCCTGATGTTCCCGGGTCCAACGGGAGCCAGGTGACAAAGTGTTGTTTCTAAGTCCTATTAGAAATGCTCTATGGCCCCACAAGATCACCTTCAATGCTCCAAGGGGTTGGACATGAAACTAAGATTGCATTAGGAGCATCAAAGTTCTCAGGGCTGCTCCTGCCCCAGTACACACACACCAGTTTGACGAGTTTGCATAAAACCAAGATACACAAGTGATTTTTACGGCTAGCAATCAATCACTAAACCATGTCTACATTTGAACCCCACCTGCTGTCCCTCCTGGTCTCATGTGCTGGGGCCTCAGATTCCAAGACTCCTCAGCCAGCTCTCTGGAGGCCCTGTCCTGCCATGCCCCGAGGGCCTGGGAGTCCAGGCTTCCACATTTCCAGAATCCACTCAACTGTGGCATGGAATATTTGAAATCAGGACTGGCAGGGAAATTCCAGGTGCATGGCTGCTGCCCATGGACAGGCCACTCAAGTGGTCAGAACTCCTAGTTCTAGACCCTAAGTGCAGCCAAAGACCAAGATCGAGGCAGGACATTGAGGGAAGTCTTAGCCCAGCACAGAGTGGCCATCCTGGACAGGTGGGGACTCCGGGCCCTCAGAAGGTGAAGGCGTACACCACCCCAACCACCACAATGTTCCCCAGTGTCGCTATGATGGCAATCCACAGCAAGATGGCGTCGTTGGAGGACCGAGAAGGCTCCTCGGGCTGGCCCTGGCCATTGGAGGCAGCGTGGACGTTGGCGGAGGAGTTAAACAGGGAGTACTCGGTGCTGAAGTCCTCGTTGGGCGAGTCCATGAACACGCCTCCCATAATGGGCAGCTGTGAGGGAGGAGAGAGAGAATTATCCACGGCCACCACAAGAAGCAGAGCCCCCAGCGGGGACTGGTCTGGCCAGGTGACCCGCATTAAACCAAAACGGGCCAGCTACACAGGGCTTTGCTTGTGTTTTTGTGTAACTGGCCATGGGTACGTTAATGGACTCCACTCCCAGTAGTGTGATGAACTAATCCCCAGCTGCTGGACACCTCCTGGGAACCCACAGCCTCACCCTACACCAGGCCCTGCAGGACAGCAAGGGTTGTAAATGCCTTTATTCTTCTCATTTAAAAAGTAATATGTGACCGGCAGAGAACATTAAGAAAATGTAAAAGACAATAGAGAAAAATGAGGATCATAATCGCCACATAATCACCGTTACTATTTTGAGATATTTTCTTTTCAATCTTTTTTGTGTCAGGGAGGGAGAAGGAGAAGGGGGGGGCTCATTTAAACATGTGGCTTTATATCCCTGTCTATAAAAGTCCACCAAAATCTCATTTGAGTTGTGCAATACTCTATAATAAATATTCTATTGTAAATATGAATAATTCAAATTTTCCCCTGGAGTTGGAGTCAGGAATTCCCTCATTCGCCTGTTATAAGTCACGTGATGAGACGCACTCTTGTACACCCACCCTCGCACACACATTTTTACCCATGAGAGCAGACTCCCACGTACACAATTTCTGACTCAACAGGCGTGACATGTGAGTGTCCGGCGTAGGAGCAAACTCCCCCAAGGAAGGTGATTCTGATTCCTGCCTGGCGAGCTGCACAGCACACCCCAGGTCCTCACGTGCCCAGCTCCAGGGATCAGAGCGTCCCATCTGTTTCTTTAAAGGCCTTCTACTGCCCAGCCTTCGGGGTGCAGAGGTGGGGGGAGGGGACCTTGGGGGCCGTGCTAAAAGGGGTCCTCCCTGCTCCAGCCCGAGGGCCAGCGTCCAGGCTCCCCAGACCCTGCACGGCCCTCCCTCGCCAGAGGTTAGGTATGGATGTGCACTCATCTCCAGGGCTCATCCCAGCATTTGTTTGGCCCACAACAAATGCTTCTCCAGAATAGGACCTGAATGAAGAAATAGAAAACAGTCAAGCCCTCCCTGGACACACATTTACTGTGGCCATGCTACTATCAGGATGCAACCGCTGCTACGGTCAGGGACTGAGCTGGAGATATTAAAATACTCTCATTTAATCACTCAACTATTCCGGTGGAGGGGACTGTTGCACCCCCATTTTACAGATGGAGAAGCAGAGGCCAAGGTCACAGTGATAACCTGACTCCAGAGAGTCTGGGCTAGAAGCCAGGAGTGTCTGCCTGGGTGGGCTGGCCACTTCCTGCTCTGCCTGGGTCCTCCACGACTCTGGGTCAGACCCGTACCAGAGTTGCCAAGGCACCGGCTGGTTATGCTGAGCTGGCTCCGTTCCTGAGCCTCACCAAGTCCCAGGGCCTCTTTGTAAAGTATTATCACTACGGGTTCAACAAGCACCTGCCCATGCTAAGAGCAACTTCGGATGGGCCTGTTCTCTGAGGGGCACGGCACTTTATTTCTAACACAGCTCTGAGCGAAGGTGGAACCTGGAGTGCAGTGACGGGAAGCGGCCACCAGGGGGAGCTTGGGATCGGCCAGGATCCGTTGATGGGGGCTGCTGCCAATAGGAGTGAGCTCACAGACAAAAATTCCTCCAGCGTTGCGTGTACTTCTAATACGTGTGCGTAACATATACACGAATACACTCAAATTACCATCGTTTCGGTATATCGGTAAATAAAATGGCAGATATAAATAAGAATGTAACACATTGCAGATGCTCCTTGGCTTACAATGGAGCTTCGTCCTGATAAATTCATCTAAGCTCAAAACAGCATAGGAAACGCACTTCCTACACCCAGCCTAACAGAGCTCAGGGCCAGCAGACAGTACTGTACGCTGGGGAGTCTTGGCCGGCGGCGTTCATGATCACAGAGAGCAGGGACTACACAGTATTAGCCCAGAAGGAGCCAAATCCAAAATCTGAAGGGCAGTGGCTAGTAACTGTGCTTCACGTTTACACCATGGTAAAGTCAAGCAATCCTAAATCGAACCCTTGTTAAGTCGGGGGTGGGGGAGAGGAAGACAGGGAATGTGTTTGTTAAACATAGGGCTGAAAGCTGAAATAAATGAGATTTGGGACCTCGTTTGGGCCCTGAGCTGGTGACACGGGTCAGATGGGGCATGATGACTGAGGCACACACCAGCCTGACGGGGTGGACTCCGCCCCAGGAGGGCACCTCCTTTCTGCAGGCCACTTCCGGGAGTCTCTTTCCGGCCCCCACTAGGGGGGCCTCCTGGGCTAAGGTGAGGCAGCACTGTGTGCAGCTGGCTTCTGGGGAAGGGGCACCCTCTTGGGCAAAAGCTGCACCCTAGTTTCCTTGGCCCCCGGAAGGAAGGCACTGCACAACCTGCCTCCTCCCCGCTGGGCCCTGCGTGGGGGGCTTCCAGACAGTGCCTCCCTAGACTCCTCGGGGCAAGCCACCCTCCTTCCTTGGAGCTCTCTGGGCCTAAGTATGCCCACACACAGCCCTGAGGAGGACAGGGCCCAGGACACAGCTTCCCTCCTGGGGACCCACACTGGGTGCCTGTGTCCTCGTGGTGTTTATTCAACTCCTTTGTTGCTAAGGTTTCCTGTTGCTGCTGTGACAAATCACTGTGCCAGCACCACCAGACCTGTTCCAGGAAGGACTTGGGATGGGTGCCACAACCGACGTCCATGTCCCGCTACACAGAGGACTCATGTGAAGACAGGGGTGTGGCCTGCTCACCACGAGCTCCCTCAAGCCCTTTCTAACAGACACAAAGGTGACAGGGGAAGTCACAGGTGTGCAATCAGCAGAAGGCTCCCCCAGCCTGTACTTCACAAACCCCAATTCAAGAGGTCCCCATCCGTGGGACAGTCCCACCGTGCGAGACGCCCCTCTGCCCCGCGGCTGTAGTGGCTGGAGGTGTGGCTCGTGGTGCACTGACTCTGCTGCCCCTGAATGTGGGGGACTAGAGTAGGCTGGGGGTGAGAAAGACTTGGGGCTTCACCATGGGTAGGAGGTTGTGAGGAGTGTCATTCTCACACCTGGCCCAATTTCCTTCCCATAAGTGATGGGGAGAACACGGGCCGCGAGCGAGCGTGGCCAGGCACGAACAGGATGGTCCCTGCCAAGGTTGGATGCAGACTTCCCTCCGAGGTGCCAGTGCCTGCAGGGTGGTGATGCCAAGAGGAAGGGGGGACCCTGAGGGGGTGGAGCCAAGGGAAGGTGACTGAGGTGCTGCTCTGGGAAAGGACGAAGTAGCTCTCTGATACCCCCGAGTGAGTTCCTGAGAGAGGATTGTTAGGAAAGAGCAAGGCAGCCCCTCCTCAGCCTCCGGCTTTCTGTCTCCTGAAGCAACCCCTCCCTGTCATATGAGTCCTGTCGTGGTGCCCTTGGCCAAGATGGGAGACAGTCAGGGGCCCCCGCAGGAGCTGGCACTGCGCTGTTTGGACCTTCTGCCTCCACCACTAATAACTCAATAACCTCTTCTCTTTATAAAGTACCCAGCCTGGGCTCTTTCATTACGGTAACAGAATTATGCACTCAATAATTACTAATATTCTTCTCTTCTGTTGTTCTTGCAGCCATTGGACACTGAGAATATTCTCATCTGTCTCTTATCCAGCTGCTTGGCTAAAGTGAGGGAGTCGCGAGCAGGCATTTCAGGCAATTCCTACGCCTCCCGCTTATGCTAACCGGGCTGCTGAGCACTGCTCCAAATCCATCTTGCTCTTGTGTTTCTGTTTTTGTTTTTTTTTCTTCCTTTGTGAAAGAGATTCTAAATTCAAAGTGCTTCAAACAGCAAAACCTCATGACTGGAAAACAACAGGTGTCTCAATTCCATGCCCTGGAGGTTGGAGAGGTTTCATCAAGAGCTGGGTCCTGGTCAGAGGGGACCCGAGGTCTCATTCCCATCTTTGAACTCCTACCCTATGGCTGGGGCCCCTAAGAGGCTGCTGTGGATAATGCTCAGGCTGGCGAGGCAGTGGTTCAACCTGTGGAACCCTGAACAGGAAGCAGGAGGCAGCAGTGCCGAGGTGCCTGCAGGAGGGTGCACAGTCCACTCAGCCGTACCTGTTGGACAGGGCCATTTTTTTTGTCCTTTGTGGTACTGAGGATTGAACCCAGGCCCTTTGCACTGAACTACATCCCCAGCCTTTTGAAAACTGTGAGACAAGGTCTTATTAAGTTGCTGAGTTGCCCAGGCTAGACTCAAACTTTCATCCTCCTGCTTCAGCCTCCTGAGTGCTAGGACTACAGGTGTGGCTACCACGCCCAGCTTGGATTGGGCCACTTATATTGCTGGGTCTGTTGCCTTCTAAACATGAGGATTCCTGCCAGAGCGGTGAGGATGCAGTGGCCAGGGGCCCTCAGACCCAGGGGCAAACCTGCTCCATGAGGGTCAGGAGGGAGAACCTGCCCCAGGACTCCGCCGTTGGCTGGGAGATGGGGTGCCTTCTCCCTAGGTCTCTTCATGACACCTTCCCTCTGTGTGTGTCTGTGTCCAAATTTCCACTTCTTTTTGAGACATTGGTCACACTGGCTCAGGGCTCACCCTGAGACCTCATCTTAACTTAATCTCCCCCTGAAACCCCACCTACGAATTCAGTCACATCGGGAAGTGCCAGGGCTAAGACTTCAATGACTGAGGTTTGGTTGGCTTGTTCTTTGTTTTGTTTGTGTTTTGACACGAGGTCTCACTGTGCAGTCCAGGCTGCTCTCGAACTCACAATCCTCCTGCCTCAGCCTTCACAGTGCTGGGATTACAGGCATGCGAAACCTCTCCCCTGGCAACATAGGAATTTTGGAGGATATATTTCACCCAACAACACCCAGTGTCTCACATCCAAATGTACCTGACTGCAGCTCCCGGCTCTTAGAAATAGAAATCGAGAGTGAGTCTTGAATGCACTGTCGAGGCAGAGCTGAGCAACACATGACT